CCCCCCCCAAGTGAGATCCTGGATGTACTTACAAGGTCAAGCTGCTCGAAACGGGAGGTCTAAAGGTCTAATTTTGCTTTCACTTTCAGCCCATAATTTGTTTATAAACATGTTCCCATGAAAAAAAGATAGAGCATGGAGAATTGATAGGAAACTCTTGAAGGAAGAGTTGCCTCCTTCACACTCACCCCACCTTTAAACCCTCTCATTGCTCTGTTCAAGTTAAATCTATATATTCTTGGCTCAAATCCCAATCGTGACGGTCTTCAACGTGGATTTTTACAGAGGTTCCTAAGCTTTCCAGCAGCTTGGCTCAGTCCTATCCAAGATGGACTTTCAATTTGAAGTCCCGCTTCACTGTATAGCAAAAGGAGTAAAATCGCATCTCTGCCGATCACTGGCATTCCGCGTATATTCCATCGAGCTGAAGAGAAGCATGTCTTGAGAAAAGAGATTAGAACTTGGACGACCCAACAGGAATTTGAACCTCGATATTCCGCGCAATCGTCATTCGTAACCAACTGTACCACACCTCTCAACCTAAAAAAAGCCATTCGTGTTCTTGTACAAGCTGTGCCTGTTGTTTTCTTGAGCTCTTTGCAGGTGATTGTTGAATGCTGTAGTGTGGTCTTCTCCTGTTATTTCCCTTCCATTCTACTTTTGTCTTTGTCTTCCATCCCCCACCCCCCACGGGCCAGTGCTACAGTCTGAAGCGTCTATAGGCCATTCCCAAAAGGGGGAGGACATTAACATATTATTAAGTTCTTATGCACAGTAGAATTATAATTGTAAATGGGCTGATTCATCGATGTCACGCTCATAACTGTGCCTGAACTGCAACAGGGAACTGGTGCTTTTTCTTTCTCAACCCTAACTATCGTCATTTGTCCTCTACTTCTTTTGTGTGTTTGTCAGAATATTGGGACCCGCGGTTTTCGGGGTTCCTTGACAGTCGAAGCAGACCTTGTGCTGTTGAAGCTAGAGAGATGAGCAGAGAAAGTCTGATTCCCTGTAAGGACTTCTCTGTTGACATCCACCCCTATGCGCTCATATGACCTAATGCAGTTGCGAGTGCCGTAAAACCTCTACTAAAGCTAATCTTTGTCCTTTCCTAGCGTTGCAGAGGTGACTCGCAGTTTACTACAGCTCTGTGCAACTCAACTTGTATACTGAAAAAATATACGGGTATTACACCCCCGTCGGCACAATTTAGAACATTTGGGAGCTGGGATTTTGGGGGGATCTGCCTGTCGGGTCCAAACTTGACCGCGAGGAATACAACGTGACCAATGTGTATCAAGTATCTCAGACTTTCTAAAGGGGGCAAAATATCCTCATCAGCGCGGCTGGGCCCTGAAAGGCTCGGTCGAAGCCCGCCTCTTAAAATATTATATTCTAGAGTGTGTCCACTGGGTCGTAAAAGAACACCAACAGTAAAAATTAGGCAAAGTCAAAAGACACCCTTTGTATAAAACCAGAGAATGAAATGCGAGAACAACATCTACTTCTACTACGGTATAGAGATGTCTGCAAGAAGAACATTACCTCATCAGAGACCGAACCTAAAAACTGGGTACAGATATTAAAATAAAAACCAAAAGAAGAACACATTTTGAGTAATTATATAGATTTAACACCCCTTTCAACACGCTATAATATTTATAAGAAATTAGACCACCGAATCCAACGCCCATCTCCGATTGGACCTAACTAAATGACTAGAGGCCATAAGAACTCCCCCAAAAAACTAAGTTCAGAACGTCGCTTTGGGAATTCGAACCAAGGCCATCCGCTCCGTAGCCAAGAATGATACCAAACGAGCTCTCACGTCGAGCCCTAACATGGTTAGGACAGACAAAAACAAGTGTCAAGTTGGAAGAAAAGGACGTGTGAGCAAAATCTTTGCTGATTTGTTTATTTGTCCTATGTATCTTTCTTTCTTCTTAATCCTAATTCTCTTAGGAGATAATACATTGCTGTTTTTTCCTTTTTTTCTTTAACAGAAAAGAAAGAAAATTAGCCAACGAGCCAACAATCGATTGTGAAATATGGTTGTCTTCTATTTTTCGCAACTCCGTATAATTGGGCTGAAGCAGAGAGTATTTCTGGCAGAAGACACAATGCTACAAACAGACAGCCAGAGAAATAGAGAGTTTCTCTTCTCTTCACATCAGATCGATAGTTCGAGAGTATGTAGCATACGTCACAAACAGTGAGAGACGGCTATGACGTCACGAGAAAGTGTATAGTTTTGCATTGTTAAACCACTCGT